CCAGGGGATGAACTCACACCCATACATGTATGTCAGTAGGCTGTCCCATGCTCCAGGGGTTGACTCACACCATACACATATGGGCAGTGCTTGTTGGACTCAGTGTTAAATAATGATAGAAAATTGAGAGAGTGATATGTTGGGGAGGGGCCATGAGAAATGGAAGGGAATGGAAGGCGAATATGATCAAAATACACTGTATTCATCTGTGACATTCTCAGACAATAGATGAAAATGGTATTTTTAGAAAAAGATTCCTAAAGACTAAAATAAGCTTCACTAAGGAAATGAAAGATTCCTACACAGAAAACTGCAAGGTAACGCTGAAGATAAAAAGATCTAGGTAAATGGAATGACAGTCTATGTTCACAGAGTGGAAGACTCCATACTGCTCAGATGGCAGCACTACCCAGTGTGTACGGCTTTAGTGCAATCTTGGGACAATTCCAATAGCCAGTTCAGAGGGGATCGCAGGAGCCCCACATGGCTGAAGAAGAGGGGATCATAGGGAGCCCCACATGACTGAAGCAAGAAGAGATCACGGGAGCCCCACACGGGAAGCAACACTGGAAAGGAAGAGGATATGTCACATCCTGATCAAAGACACAGTGGTCACTTTCTGGCTTTTAACATGTGTAGCAATGTAATAAAGCTGAGATTCTGAACATAGAGACAATTATCCATGGCCATTCAGTTTCCAACAACGATGTCACAAACATTTAACAGGAAATAATAGCCTCTTTGCAAGTGCCCCTGTAACAAGTGATGCCTACATGCCAAAAAATAAATAAGAATAAAAATATAATTACCCCTTACCTCACCCATATATAAAAAGGCATCTCTGCATGAGAGGTAAAGACATAAAACTCATAGAAGAAGCAATATAGGACTTGGTCAAGATATGGCCTTATCAAAAGATAGTTCTGTGCAGTAAAGGTCAGTATCAAGAACGGGGGAAAACATAGGCAGTGGAGAAAATTGTTGAAATTATCTGTCAGCTAAGGGTCTAGCATCTAGGACATATGCAGAATTCTCACAATTAAAAAACAATTATCTGTGGCTGGGGAGACGACTCAGCTTTTCCAGGGGATCTGAGTTCAGGTCTTAGCACCCATGCCTGGTAGATCACAACTGCCTGCCATCCCAGCTTCAGGCCCTCTTCTGGCCTCTTCTTTTGTGCACATCCCACAGGCAGGCACACACACACAGACACACATAAAAAAAAAAGTAATAATTCACTTTGAAATAAGCAAACCGCCTGAACAGCCAAAGCACACACATGAAAACACATGAAATATCAATGAGCTACTGCTTTTCTACCTCGCTGCAGGACCTGAGGCAATGAGATTAAATAACCGTGAATTGAAGTCTCAGAAACACTGGATTCACAGGACCTTCTTCCGGCTTGAAGTGACTTCCCCTGGCGTCCTGTCACAGCGATGGGAGGGAAGCCAGCTGACTAACATGTCTTCCTCCTGGC